ACAACATCTTCCTTTCATGAACTTTGGTATAGTAACGGCTTGTCGTTTAATACAAATTGATCTCGAACTCACAATAAATCTTTATGGCGGGATTTAACGCTGTGATTTGCAGCTATTATTTTAAGAAATGAACTTACATAAAGAGCATTTTTATGGTTTTTCATATATTCCTTAATTAGAACTATTGAAGCACATATACTCTATATTATAACTGTAGCTGCAGGTATTCTTAATTTCTATTTATTAAAATTTTATTTAAAAATAACGCTTTTAAAATTTATGAGGTTTTGTTTAATTAACAGAATATAACGAAAATTTTCCTAATAGTTATAACTACACAATACTTTATGTAGGTAGGTGCTAATTAAGTTTGAATAATTTACTAAGTATATTATAGTAAAATTTATACTGTTATGCTTGTTTTCTTTTTGTTACTGTCATATTTCTCGTTTGTGCTAACACTATAAAAGTGGCCGCTATAATTAAGTTCATATACTTACTTAATTGTACATACATATATATTTTTCTTTTTCGTCGAAATAGAGTTGATGTTCTTATGATGCATGTTTGTGTATGAATTTCTTTATTATCGAGCATATTGCACGTTATTGATGCAACTTCAATAATTCATTTCTTCCTCTTTGTTTCGTGCATCTGAAATATTTTTAAATATTTTATTTGGACTCTTCTACGAGTATATATATGCTTATACGAGTAGTATCGCTTTTTAAAATTAAGATGCAAAACTTTAAAATGGAAAAGTAAAGTTAATTCCAAAAAAAAAAACAAAATTGAATTTTGAAAAGTAAAGACGTGATAATTGATAATATCTCATGTCAAGGAATCGCCTATACATTTATTTTTTTGAAATAATAATATTTCTTTTTTCAATTAACGAGTATCATGCCAGTAGCTTACACAATAATGTACATACATACACTAATAAGCCTGCATGAATGTGATTTTATATTCAACGTGTAGCTAAAATTTACATGGATCGAACTCCAATATCGATAATACTATATGTGGTAATTATAGAGAAGAAATAAGAAAATATCAGATTTATTTTTACCAATTTCCTTTCTCAATTTCTAAAAACTGAAAATAAAAAAAAAAAAGAAATGGAAAATGATAAGATTAATGATTTATCATCATGAAACAACTGTTGTTATTTTTTTTCCAGCAACAGTCGTATCTTGATAATTTGAGCGGCAAAAAAAATTTTGTTTGATGGAAAATATTTTAGAAGTTGGAAATTTACGTCTGCAACCGAACGGGACGGGCTGAATAAAAGGGATCTCAGACCTCGTCCGCGCAAATTCGATATCAATCTTGTTGCCCCTGTGCCCACTGTGTTTCACCACCTAAACGAGCTTTAATCTGTTTGTTGACAATCCAAAATTAACTTGGATGTGACCTGAGCCGATTGGAACGCCAACAACTCCGTCAAATGTCTGAAAGCATAAAGACGGGACGATTTTATATCTCTTGTCCAAGTTCATACTCAGGCAGATCTCTATTGCCTGTATTTCAGCTTGAAACACCGAGCAATATGGGTCCAAGCTCCTGCTTATACGTTCATTTTCTACACGCTCTTTCGACCCATCAGTGTACCATACACTATAACCAATCTCAAAAACTGGATCCCTTGAAATACTACTTCGTATATACGATCAAAGTTATGCCACGAGAGACGGACAAAAGTCTTGTGTTTTCGCTTTCAACGAAAGCCCTGCTTGTGGCGTGAGCTAATCTTTTTTCTGCGACACCATCAACAGTAAGAAGTCGGTAAATTGTTAGCAGAGCTGCACACACAGTGAAGAGGTGCAAAAGTGGAAGTCCAACGAATGTCTCCAGAACAGTTGTGAGAGCCGTTCGCTTGCTCTAGTTACTCTCAGACAATCCAGCCTGTGAACTTGGCCACCATTCCTACCTGTTTCACCTTGTGGCCATATATAGTCACAGTGTTACCGCAGGACTGTCCTTGTCAATTGTTTAAATTGTCAAATTTATACTGTACTTGTATAAATTCTGAATTTCATCTATAATTTTTTTTGTTATTGTACCATATTTATTTTATGTACCTATGACAATGTCATTTATTTGATCTCATAACATTTACATATAAGCATACATACATATATGTATGTACATATGTATGTACGAGCTCATTATAAGAATATTAAAATTAAAAAATTTTTGAAATATTGTGTGGTAGCTCTTTGATTTTTATCATTGCACTAATTAGAATTGGGATGAAAAAAAATAATTTAACTACATATAAAAGAAATAAGGGGATTTTTTTTCTTTTTTGAAAACTAAAGTGCTGGGACGTGTTAATTTTCTTTTTGAAATTTTGAATATTGTTAATATATTTTGTTTTTTCGCTATTTTTCGACTTAAACTATGAGAAGTTGAAATGAATCGATTTTCAAAATATTGAAACTACACATATAAAGAAGAAAATTTTTTTGTGGTAAAAATTTTCGTAGAGGGGAAATTTATTTTTGACATTTAATTTTTTTTTTGTGTTTCTCTTATGACATTTTTTATAAGTACTTAAGCACATGTACGTACTACATGAGTTTGAATATTTTGTATTTAATATTAAACAAATTATTGGGCTCATTAATAATTTTTTTTTTTTGAGAATGACAAATTGGAAATAAAGAAACTAAGAATTCAAATCGAATCATTTATACCATAAATGTGCATGTGAACAAATATTTTTATTTACATACACGTATTAGATTCTGTTTGCTTTGAAATAAAAAATATAAAATTTTTGACAGAGATGTTCGCATTATTCCATCCTAGCGTTAATCTCCCGAACTTTATCTTCTCTAATATTTTAAGTTTAAATTGAAAATTCGAATTTCGAAATGGAATTTCGAAAATTGAATTTCGAAAATTTGAATTTTGAAAATAAAATTTCGAAAATTTCGAAATCTCAAATTTGATTATGTGGTTAACCCAATAATTTTTCAAGAATCCAAAATTTTTGTTTCAGTTCTAGAGTGCTGTTCCCACTTAAATATTAAAAATTTTTTGAATCCAACTGAGTTTAGAAATAAATTGAACTTAAATTCAAATGTCTTACTAAATTAAATGTCATACGAGAACACTTTTAATGTTTATATAAAATATTTTTTAATATATTACACATATTGCAAGTATTTATACTTATTTGTACATGCATAGTTACATGTGTAAATTTAAATATGTTGTATTTGACTTTTGAATATTTATGGAAAAAAAAATTAAAATTTTAATTTATCAAATGTCAAAATCTTTTATATTTTATTAGTTTTTAAGTATTTTATTTTAAGAAGCCAAAATAAAAAAAAACCAACACAACATCAACTCCCTTTCAAATAAACAACACACATAATTTTAACATGTTTGCATTTTTAACAAGAATAGAAACAGTCTCTGACATTTTTAATGTATTAAAAATATCAAAAACATAAAAAAAAAGGGGGGAGGTGGAAAAATATTTAAAACACTTAACTAAAACTTAATAAATCAAAAAAATAAAAAATAAGAAAAAACCAAGAGTACATAACAATCTAAATAAGAGAAAAGTGTATAATAAAGGTAATAATATTAGTAAGTTTTCTTCAGTCTACATGTCATATGTACGAGTGTATGTAAGTTATTTGCTTAAGTAACCTCCAGAAGAAAAAACAAATTATGAAACTTCCTCTTTATACAGGTTTTTTTCCTTTTATATCATTTTTCTTATTCCTTTTTCTTTTACTCCTTCTTATTTTGGATACCTTCTTATAAGATGTTAGGATAATAAATTCTATCTTTTTTTCCTAAACATTAAATAAACCAGTACCTACTATGAAAAACATCTATACCTTTTCTCACTTTTCCATATACGAAAATTGCAGATATCTAGCACATAATATTACCCCTACATACTAAATTTGTATAATGTATACTTGTATGTCTGTATATATATACGTTATTGAAGTAAGTGTATAAAAATAAGAAAATAATTTATAGTATTAAAGAAAAAGGAAACGCTTAAATTCATATTACATAAAATATTTTTGTGTATACTTTTATTTTTAGTAATAATAAATTTATTTTAAGTAGCCATAGGTAAAGAATTTTAACTAAAAATTTTATGAAATATAATATTTATTTATTTTTTATAAATAGTTACAATATAATCTAAGGTATACAATATATACTTGCAAAATATCCATAGCTTTTATTAAAATATATAACTAAAATTATTTTGTTTTGAATGATTTGTGAAAATAAAAGAAATGTTTTTTTATACTTAAATATTTTGATTTAAAATTTAATTCTTCCAATTTGTATGACAACTTTTCAAAATTGTTAATGTGACATTAGAATCATACATCATACATATACACATATCAATTTGAAAATTAATCTGGTTTTACTGTAAAATATTTGGATTCAGCGAGCGAGCGACTATGTCGATGTCGTCAGCAAAACACAACAGCTGCACGGATTTAAAGAAGATAGTGTCTTCGGTGTTAACACCCGTGCGACGCACTATTTGTTCCAGCACAAGATTGAAAAAGTCGCATGACAGCGCGTCCCCCTGGCGAAAACCGGAACGCGTCCGAAATACTTCCGATGTATTTTTCCCGATTGCCACCGAACATCTAGTATTTTTTAGCGTCATCCGAGATAAGCGAATAATTTTGCTCGTGAACCCAAATTTTGCGATTTGACGAAGTGCGAAGATCTTGTCGGTGGTAGATTTTCCAGGTCTAAAACCACATTGATAGTTTCCTATCACGTTGTTACAGAGTGGTTTTAGTCGTTCGCACAATACGTTGGATAGAATCTTGTATCCGATATTTATTAGGGATATTCCACGATAGTTGTTGCAGGACGTGGTATCACCTTTCTTGTGGATTGGCCTTATGATGCTAACACCCCATTCGTCGGGCATGCTTTCCTCCATCCAAATGCGGTATATGATCTGGTGCATGCTCCTAACCAGTACATCACCCCTGGTTCAACAATAAGGCGGCTGGTTCTGATGGCCTGCCAGCAGAACCAGCCGCCTTATTGTTCTTGAGCTTTTTAATGGCGTTGTTAACTTCTTCGAGGCTAGGTGGAATTACCTCTTCGTTGTTAACAGGAGTGTTTGTTGTGGATGCATCGCTTTTGGTGTTTTCCGAATTCAGCAGCCGCTCGAAATGCTGCTTCCACGCCCGCAATATCCCTTCCTCATCGGTCACCGGATTTCCCGCACCATCGTCCAGAGCACATGTGTAGGGCTTGAATCCAGCTGAGAGCTGTTTTGTTTTTCTATAAAAGCTCCTTACTTCCGCTCTGTCTCTATGTTTCTCTATATCCAAGAGCTGAGATTTCGCGGGGTCCCGTTTTTTTCTCCTAAGGACCCCCTTTTCTTCTCGTCTTTTTGCCTTATTCCTCTTGTGCCGCCCTAGTTTTGCGTTGCAGCGCTCTTCTGTATGCCTAATTTTTTTCCGCCGTCAACCTCGAACATTCATCATCATACCAAGGGTTCCTTGAAAATGGTGGTTTATAGCCCAAGGTATCACTGGCCACCCCCTTCATGATGTCTGCGTACTGTTTCCATTGTTCATTAACGGACGTAAAAACAAGAGGCGCGGAATTAATTTTCTCGCAAAGACGGTCTCTAAAGGCTCCGGCTAGCTCGGTGGATTGCAAATTTCCAATGTTGAATTTCCGCGTTGTCGCAGTATGCAGTTTTCTGACATTGCATATTTGAGCTCTGAATCTAGCTGCAACTAAAAAGTGATCAGAGTCGATATTTCCCCCCCTATACGTACGCACATCCAAAACACTCGAGCAGTGACGAGTGTCGATGAGAATATGGTCAATCTGATTGGTTGTGCGACCATCCGGGGCCAGCCAGGTCCCCTTGTGGATATCTCGGTGCAGAAAATACGTGCTACTTATGACCATGTTGCAAGACGCCGCCAGATCGATCAAGCGGAACCCATTGTCGTTGGTGGTGTGCTGAAGACTATGGGTGCCAATAGTTTTTCCAAATATTTGCTCTCGACCAATCTTCGAATTGAAATCCCCCAACAAGATTTTTGCATCATATCGTGGGCAGGCTCCATAAGTTTTGTAGAGAATATCATGGAAATTCTCCTTGGCGAAATCCTCTGCCTCTTTGGTTTGGGAATGCGCGCATATTAGGCTGATGTTATAAAATTTGGCTCTGATGCGGATAACGGCCAAACGCTCATTGATTGGCTTAAACCCGATGACGTTACGTCTAAGCCTGTTACCAACTACGAATCCGCATCCCAATATGTGATGTTTTTTGTGGCAGCTGTAATAAATATCGCATTTCTTTTTCTTTAAAATTCCAGATCCTATCCAACGTATTTCCTGTATTGCAGTAATGTCTGCCTTATACTGCACGAGAAGGTTTTCCAAATTATTAGATGCACCTGGCGTGTATAGTGTTCTTATATTCCAGGTGTAAATCCGTAAATCATAGTCCTTGATACATTTGCCGTGTCTGTTACCATTAGATCCAACCAGTCTATCCGAGGCTTCACTTAAGTCTCCCATAACTGACGAGTTTTACAGGTAAGGTAGTTAACCTTACGCCAACCCCAAACCGGGGCCAAATTTCGCGCTTACAGTTTCGGCCAGTTCTGCCAGTGGGTGCTGGAAGAAAAGTTGCCAGGGGCCACCACGTGGAGGTAGAGTAAGCACTTGCCCAGGAACCTAAACAGTTACACAACTGGGTCAGCGACCGATCAGTTGCTACCATGTTGCTGCAAGACCAGACCCCCGGAAAATAAAAATAGGGAGACGAATAACGAAGTAGCAGTTATGAGTGCTAATCAGGTGAAGTCACTAGGTGACAAGGTTGACTCTGGTTTGATAATTCAATGTGTATAATTTTAACCGAACTTATATTAATCGAAATTCTATTAATGTCTGGATTCAAACGGACTTACCAATCACTTACGAATCATTTGCTTCGGGTTCAATAGAACCACGTGACTACTTTGAATCTTCGGCTCAGACTAATCAGATGATTAGTTATGAGTTCTTTAGTAAAGAAAATTCATCAACTATGGGATATATTATGTTTGCGAGTTCCAGCCAAAATTAGAATCAATTTGGCGATGTGCTTGGTGTTAAATCTAATTGAACCTCCAACTCACCTGTGGACAATGGCACATTAAATCCACTGGCTGCAGAATCTATGGCATACATTCTTATTATCCCTTAATTCTATTAAATTTAAATACTTTGTTTTTTATAAATAGATTTATATGTTAATTTTTATTAAATCAAAATCGAAATCGAAGTTACTAGAATATTTGAAATTTTTTTAGTCGACTATACATACCTCCATTTATATTTAAGTTACCGTATTATAACTATTATGCTACCCATAATATAACAGTTACTATGAGTAGCTGTATAAAAAGGCAACACTTTTGTTTTGTTCCCCAAAAATTTACATAAGGAATGTATGTACATATTTAAATGTGGAATATACCCAATTACTTATTGTGAATAGTAGATGCTTTTTGGTTTCTGTTTTAAAAGAAATTCTTTAATATTTTCTTATTTTCTAATTTTACTAGTATTTCTGGTTATCTATTTCAACCGCATTACGTACAGTAGGAGAAGTATTGTTTTAACATTAATTTAAGAAATGATCAAAAAAACGTTTTCAATGTTAGTCTACGTATACTTATACCCGCGGTTCAATATGAAATGTATTTTGTCGTATTTGGGGATAACTTTTAGCCCACATGAAGTTCTAGCGATAGAACTTTTACTTAAAGCTGATTTTTGATCGTATCAAGGATTTAATAATAACAAGGTCCCAGAAATTAAGGCTTTTTAGAAATACACTCACATATTAGTTATACGTGTAATTACACGTTGAAGCTTAAGCAAATTTCGATTAACTAATAAACACAGATTTAGAATTTGCTGATGTTGCTAATCGGTATTTGCTCATCCTATCAATTTTGCTTCTTCTTTTTCGTGCCTTTAAGTATATATGCATAATATGTAAATCCATATTTTTTTTTCTGTATCATTAAATTCGGAAGGAAAAAATGAAATTTTTATGAACTAAATTTGTAAAAAAAAAATCTACGTATGGGTTTCGTTCGGTATTTTGCTATTTTATTTAATTTTCATAAAACTATAAAAATGCTATGACATTTTTATAGTCATATAACAATAAAAGGCAAAATAAAAATAGAGAACCTAAAATCCTGTATACGTAAGAAACACAATCTAAGCTACTAATGTAAGTTGCATGAATCGTATACATTATGCTTTGAAAACTTAAAGGCAAATCTGAAATTCAAATATAAGTTAAGTGTTATTACATTTAAATTAAGTTTTTTTGATATAAAACAGTTTATGTATGTAGAAGTTTGCAAAATTGTGTGTACCTTAAGGTGTTATTACTCCATTTATAACATTAAAGCTGCAATTCCTGTATAGAGTTGTAAATTAGAGTTGTTAATCCAGTTACTTTTTTGTGTAATATATTTTATTTTGTAAAGATGTTTTAATTTATAATGTGATGAATATATTCAAATCACAATCAACATTTTAATTGACAGTTATAATAAGAGAATTTTTGTTGTTAAATCTCCCTTTTAGCGGGTACTTTGACAGATGTCATTGAAATACATGTCATTTGGTAATTATAACCGTAATTGATATTTTGATAAGAATATTTGGAAATACTTTGAACGTTTACTGTTATCAAAGCAAGCGTTATTCTTCAGAGTGTTACGAGAACTATCAATTAAAATCCTAAAAAATGGAAGTTATGTCATTAAAACAAAAATTATTGTCAAAGTAATTTCTTTTAAATTACAAATGTTTTTTGTTTAATGAGTACACATAAACGTTGCTATTGACTAAATCAGTAGAAATATCATTTACGTAACTAAAATTTAAAGATTATATAAACTTTTAGTTCATTGAATATTGCTATGCATCTATTTATTTTTATCATTATAATATAAGTATGTACCTAAAAGTATGGTATTTTACATGTGTTTTTTGTAATCTCTTTCTTTCGATTTTTAAGGAAATTACATTTTTATAGTGCTTTGATCAAAATCTCTTTTCCTTGTTTTGTCTTGCCTATATAAGCACATATAGATTCATAAGTATACATGCATAGTACTACGGTTTATGATGCAAAAACATCTGTATAGGTTCATTATTTCAGTTTTTTTTAATGTATTTATGTATGTGTATGTGAATATTGTGTATACGATGTTCATTTATGCTTAATCTGAGATGAACTTTTAAAATATAAAAATTCCTTTTATTCATTTTTCGTTTTTTTTTGCTCATTTATTTTCATTTGTGCTATTCTTTTGTGTTATTTTTTTCATTAGAACTATCAAAAAAATTTAGAAAAGAAGAGAGAATAAGCAAGATAAAGGCATAATATGTATAAAAGAAAAAAACTTGACTAAAAAAGTATAACTATTTAATGACGTGTATGTTTTTATTTACTTGCTTATTTGTAGTTATATACATATGTACATACATAAATATATCCACATACATATATCCACATATTATGTGTAGTTCCTTACATAAATGTACCTAATATTTTATTTGAGAATATCTAGTGCATATTATAAGCATAATACGGTTGCAAAGAGTGCTATATAAAGAGTGTTTCTTCAAAATGGGGGGAAAACAAAACCACTTGCTTGTTAACTGGTGATAGAATAGTATTTATTAAAAGAAGAGTCTTAGGTCCTCGTTCATATTTTGCCACAATTTCTTAAGGAATACTAGATTAAACTTATACAAGTAAATGTACAAGCAAATTTTTTCCATTTTAGACGATAGTAAAAAAAATTTATCATTCAAAATAATTAGCATGTCATTTAAAAAGTCAGATTTGCGATGAGAACATATTATGTAAAATAAATTGAGACTCGATCAAAGTTATTAGTGTAAACGACACCTTAAAAATACTTTAATGCTCTTAATTATTTAAGAGCCATTGGCATGTGAATTTGGCACTAGGAGGATTCGAAAGAATAATTGTTATAAAAAATACTGCTCACTCTTCTGTTTTTATGAACTGGTATGCAGCAAGTAAACTGATCAGAAAGAATTCCTTTATACATAATGTACAAATTATATGGTTTCTTTTATTTGACGTTCAGTTGTCCGATTTAAGATTTCAAAATGAACTTGAAATGCTCTCGTTGTGACGTATTCAAAGTTTTTTTGTGAAAAAAGTAATATAAGTAGCCAAATAGTTAGAGTTTTCAAATATAGTTATTTTGAGTTAAATGTAGCTTCCTAAACATCTGAGTGACATTTCTACCTAAATGGCAATACCTTGTACATGGGAATTATTCTTTTTATGCAGTTATTTATAGAATTTTTTACTTAAATCAGTTTACATTTTAGATTTAATACTCGTATTCTTTATTCATAATGAAGGAAAAAAAAATTTCTTTTTTTCGTTTAAAAAATTTTTTTTTATTTTTTGTATTTAATTTGATTTTTTCTCAGACATTTCTATTTTTTTTCTAATATTTGTTTATCTATACTTTTTTTTTTTTTGTATAGACGGCAATAATAATTTTGTATTGTTTATGAAAGAAGAGAAAAAAAAATATTGCTATTATGACGGATCTTTATGTAAATAATAAAAATTTTTGATTTGAATATGCAACTATATTAATACTGTTATGCAAGTACATGCTACTGTTTGTTGTTTGTTTTTCAACTACATGATATGTGTTTGAAATATATTATTAGTTAGGTTTACTTTTAATGTCATGGCTGTTGTTGAAGTGTAAGCGTTAATATTATGAAGTTTTTATGATTTATGAAAAACTAAATAAATTATTTTATAAAATTAAAATGTTCTTATTTATTAACAAGGTTAATTAAAATATATGCCTTGTCAGTTTTTAAATTGTTAAAACTATCCGTTCAAATTTCGGGAGCTCTCATTTAAATACATATACCGGTTTAAAATTGACAGAAAATGTATGCTTATGTACGTCGTACGTCATAAGCTTTTTTTTTTAAATCGTATAGAAAACTCTAATTTTTTAACACGATAAGTATGTTTTTAATGAAAATTACAATAAGTGCAATAATTTTCAATTAATTACAGCGAACACAATTATTTTGAAATCTCATCTCAAACACGTTGACAATTTTGACTTATGCTGATGACACTACGTACATACCTTATAATTTCAATGAAATTGCATGCATTTTAGTTAAATATATTTGACATTTAATATAATCATTTAAAATTATTAATTTTAAAGATTGAAATTTCAATTTCTTGAGAAAATATGAAAATTATTCCATAAACGATGACTATTCCACAAATGAAGACTAAGTACATGAAATTAATTAATTAATTAATTACTTAGTGTTAATTACTTGTAGTCTTATTTAAATTAACATAATTTGTATTACTTAAATTGTAAAAGACTTAAATTATAATGAATAAATGCAATGCATTAATTTTTCAATAGGACCATTTTGTAGACTTTTACATATTTTCTTCATTCACAATT